AGAACGGAGACACGCTTCAACTCGACTTTCAGCGAACACCATCAATACTCCATTGTTTCTTATAGCTTTAAGTGGGAAGTGACATCCATTGCCCCTTTCGACAGTTGTACGTGAATTTATTTCTCCAAATACACTATTTATTTAAAGTATATGCTACGGAAAATAGGGATTGGACTAAATTATTTCGATTAAATAGTTTGATATGGACCATAGCAGTAAGTCGCTGGAAACTACCTCCACCTTTGTGTCGATAGTCTGATTCGAAGTTGAGATCAGCTTTTTAAAATCGAGAATGTCATCATCTGAAGTTTGTAGCATTATTGGAAATATAAGGCAAACTTAGGTTCCAGCGTAGTCCTTTTGAAGTCACTTTAACTGGCCTCCCGATTGGTATGAGTCCACAGTGGAGATTCGTAGGACAGTTGGGGAGGCATATTTCGTTGAATCCCTGCTGAGGTAAATAATACACAGCAACCTACTCTATCAAGCAAACAGGAGATGGAAGACTCAGTCACAAGGAGAACGGGGATGGTTGTAACTCCTTTAGCAATAAAAAGTGAGTTTATTATCCCGAATTCGTGATCTACTCGACCGCCACTTCCATAAAGGCCAACTATGTAGTCAATGCTCGCCTTTAAAGATGGCCCCTCCGTAGAACATTCTTCACGGTGTTCGTCAATATGCTCGTATAGAATCACGATAGCCTTTGTAAAGTCTGATGCATCCTGGTCCGGTGTTTCTATAACCCTGGTTGCTTTCTACTGGTAGTACATGATATGCAGTTTTACCTGATTCTCGTAAAACGCCCTAACTTCAGGTCTGATGGAATCGAAGTCTCCACTGACAAAATTAGGAGTATGGGAGTCCCTTAAAGGACTATCGTAAATAATATTTGCGAATCCATCCACAAAGATAGAAATAGAGGCTTTATTTTGACAAGTTATGAGATAAAACTACCTTTACGGAAAAGTACTTCAAACAAGTTCTCCAGACCACTGAAGCGGGAATTCAAACAGATCAGACCAATTTTTGAGACTAAATACATGATGATGGCCCCATAGCATACCGTTGTTGATTATGCAGAACGGATCTATCCTCATCACAAGGAACAGCAACAACTAGATCTCGACAAGAATAAGATTAAGCCCCACTTTAGGTCGAATACTTATATTTACCAGCTCCTAGTTCAAACACAAATTGCATGAAATGTTTCGTCCCTAATAAATGCAAAGGCTCAAAAATATTTGAAATAAGTTTTTTAACACATATATAATAAATAATTGTAGTCCAATATTTATTTTGTGAGGACACATACAGTGATTTTTAATATTTTACGGTAAAATTTTGATGGGTAAGTCCTCTGCAAAGGTCTGTTCTTGCTGGCCGAAGAAAAGCTGAGGTAATGTTTTGCAGCAATGATTGATATCGGAACCATGGGTAATCCTAGTCTCAATTGACAATAGGAATGGTATTCGTCAGAAGTTAGAGGAGATGGTTGGAAATTTTGGCCGCTAACACTGATCTTAAGGCCTTGAGGCAGTCCAAAAAGCATGTACTTTCCTTAAAGGGGTTTGTTTCCCCTACGTTGCCACCTCATTACGGTATCCTTTGTGTCTATAAGTCGGTCATAATTCTGAAGTTGTTATTAGTTTGAATTAATTCACTTCTACTTGAGAAAAAGACTACTGTGTTCTCTCCTCAGGCCTGAAATTAACTCAAAGCAATGAGGAGGTGCTTTGGTACCATGTGTCGTTTGTCTAAAAATCGGTTTCCTAGGAAGTCCAAAGTGTTCCCTTCGAGATTGCAGACCTCAAAGCTCGACTATTGGCAACCATACGCTCCGTATGACGCACTTTTTCGATCGCAACTTTCAAAGATCTCTTTATATGTAAAAACAGGATTTGGCAATGTGTTTCATGTGGATTACATTTAGTGTAATGTGGCATTAACAACACCCGTAAGCGGTTTGTAATGCTTTGTTTATGTGACCACATAAGTTTGGCGGTCACTTTAGAATTTGCCTGGCTCCTGCACACGTGGGCTGACCTTCGAGCTACGATCAGGCTCCATTTGTCCGGTCGTCTTCGGTATACATGCATTTAACCTCACTTATGCCTTCTTCCACTCTATGGGAAGCCTCGGGACGCGGAAGGCGAACCCGACATTTTTTGACGACTTCTAGGTATAAAGTGTTTTTGAAGACCTTCTGCTGCAACCCAGGTGGGATCTCTCCCTGCGGCTTGTTCTTCGTTGGTCGTTTGTTAAATGCGATACAGTACTCGGGAAAATCTATTGCCTAATAGACACTGCTGTCTTACTGACATCCTACGTTCGCGTTGCTGAACTTCGCCAATTAATCGACTGATTTCCGGAAAAGAGCAGTGCGAATAAACCGACGAGCAAGGGTTCGATCTGCTGATGCATGCAGATACCCCAAAATCGGGTTCCCTTGGCCGGAATTTTGAAAACCCTCTTTTCATGACAAGAAGTTTACAATCCAACCAGCAGACAAGGCTGCAAAGGAAGTCTGCTTTTTAGTGGAGAAATCCAAGATCAATAAGCGCATTTTGGCGTTGTGCATGGGCAATCATGAACTGTCCATGCGTAGATGGAAATCTGACTATATCGAAGTGCAATAGATGAAGATACAGGCAAAAAGGGACGTGAATTGAAGGAAGCGCATTTACCTTGGTGGCGGGCGAATTCCCGAACCCTTCACAACGTAAGCATCTAGGCGGACGTCTGCATTTGGTTTCACCTTATTCCCGTGTTCCACAGACAAGCTATTAACAACTGA